TGACTAGGACAGATGAAAAGACACAGGACTGTAGGTAAAACAACACGAAGTTCATTGTTTTGCTTCCTCTGCAGAAAAACAAAACACAATTCAACACCCCGTCCCAAGTCTAATTCTTCTCCTTAAGGCTCAGTGTGCACTGGGGTACCTTTTTCACAAACCCTCCAAACACTGCCGCCTAAAAGCAGTGTCCAGCAGTGGGTGGAGACAGGGATGAGAGGCCTGGAGGCTGCCACGGCCAGTGCCGGGAGAAGCCCCTCTCACCATCCTCCCTTCCTCCTGTGTGGGCTACACAGTCATGGCTGCAGGCCTGGCCCTCCTACAGGCAACACCACTTGTTCTTCTCTCTGGCTTGTGTCTAATTTCTGTGATCATCCTCAAAATGTAACCTAGCATGAAATGTAGGGGAAAGTTTTCCACCACGTCTAGAAAGAAGAATCAAGATTTTCCCTCTAACAAACATTAAAAAAAAACTTAACAGAAGCAGCAAATGGAAACATTCTACTAGGTCCTGCCCACATGTGCTCCATCGGCACACAGCGCAGGTGTGACTCCAGGCTGTGCCCACTAGAGGACCAGGAGATCAATTCATTACCACCAACACTTTAATGCTTTGAGGAATAGAAAAGAATACACATCAGAGTGCCCTGCACATAGCGAAAGTAAGGCATACTTGTGTGACACATGCACACGAGCATGTGCTAGTTCATGACAGAGTTCCTTCTCACGGGGGGGATGGGGGGGTCAGGGCCTAGTGGCCAGGACACAGGGGCAACATACAAGCTTGAGGTCTCACTGCCTGGAACACAGTCCAGCTTTCAAGTTCAAGTCCACTGCTGTGTAAACTGGGCAAGTTACTTCATGGCTCTAAACCTGGTTTCCACTTGGAAACACAGATGTCCTCATCAGTCATGCAATGCAGTTTAGTTGGCACTTGAGAAGGCCCTGGGTAGGACCATTTCTGAAGCCTTGGCTTAAAGAATTTTAGAACAGGAAAGAGATAAAGGTATTCTGCACAACCACCCCTCATTTTACAGAAGACAGATCTCATGGGGAGATGAAATAATTGCTAGAGGTCATAAAGCAGACCTAGGTCATACTGGATCCCTTGGGTACAAGACCTGCATCACACAAATGAACCACAACCTTGCTTTCTGTAAAGGAGCTTTAAAGAGTGAATGTTGGGGATGTCAACCCCATAGTAAGCACTCCAGAAGTCTACATCCCAACATCAGTCACTTGTTCTTGAGCAAGGACAAGAGAAATGACGAGAAAGCTGTGGTTCCCATTCTCTACAAAGGGGAGTTATTGGTTTGACACAGTTTTCAAGCCAGTCCATCCTGAACTCCCCCCGAGGGTGAGCACTCCTCAGCCTCGTCGGCTGTGCAGACAGGCAGGCACTTAGGGTTACTTTGGAGGGGCTAGCCTGGCTGGCTCAGGGATAAGGGTGGCTTGTCCACAGCTCCAAGCACAGGGCCGAACACCAACCCACAACCACAGGGGCATCTGGGCTTCCATTTCCCTGCCCTGCCTTTGCAGCAACATGCAGGCCAGCCACGGGCCCACCCTCTCATGGTGCACGAACCTTCTCTTTCCTCCTCAGATTTCAGCAGGAACATATCTGAATGCTGGGTGCCTTTGTCCACATCTTTCTTGACTCTCTGCAAAGGGAAAGGGGAGTTGTGTGAGAATTAGCAGGGTACCATCTACAACACCTAAGAACAGATTTTAAATTTCAAACATCTGCCATTCTAATAACCACTATCATGCTAGAAACACTCTCGTGCTCTCTTACTAGAGCTTCCGGTGGTTCCCAGCAATCCTACTTTAAGTGGAAGGGTGCTCTAATGGAGACCGTGGGACTGCTGATGACATCACAATATTGCTATTCTTCCATTTTCAGTCCCTGCGTATCTTCAGCGCCCATCATCTTTCAAACTGTGACTCAGGCTTCACTGCAAGGATCAAATTGATGTTCCAGCAGAAGCCAGCCAGTACCCAGATAAGACTTTTCTGAGCTTCTAAAATAAGCAGCCCAGGTGCCTGAACCCAAAGTATTTAGCGTCAGATCAGTGTTATTACCCAGCCAGACTCATTCTCAATCTCCAGGCCTCAGGACACAACTGTTACCTAAACACTAAAGATGTCCAGAAAGCTACTTGGCAATTATTATCCTGGGTGGAAGGATTTCAGTAAATCTTAACTTCTTTGTATTTGTACTTTCAATTCCCTATTTTTAATAAAATTTTAATTTCAGAATAGCTTTATATTTGCACAAAATTTCAGAAGTACTGAGGATTCCCACACGCCCCACACCCAGCTTCCCCTACAGTTAACATCTTACAGTGGTGAGGCACATTTGTCAGAATTAATGACCCAATACTGACAAATTACTATTAACTGAAGTAATTCTTTATTCATATTTCCTTAGTTTTCCCCTAACGTTCTTTTCTGTTCTAGGACACCACGCTACATTTAGTCATCACAAATCCTTAGGCTGCTCTGGACCATGACAGTTTTTTAGACTTGCCTTGTTCTTGATGACCTTGGCATTTTTGAGGAGTGCTGGTCAGGTGTTTTACAAAATGCCCCTCTATTAGGAGATGTGTCTGGTGTTTTTCTCACCATCAGACAGGGTTGTGGGTTTTGGGGTGGTAGACCTAGAGGTACAGCACTCTTTTCGTCACATCATATCAAGAGTGCATGCTGTCACCATGACATCACTGCTGATGTTGAACTTGATCACTTGGCAGAGGTATTATCTGTCAGGTTTCTCCACTGTCAAATTACCCACCCCCACCCCACCACCAGCTTTCCACACTATCCTCTTCACAAGGACACTACTGTGAAGCCCCCACTTACGGAGAGGGAAGTCATGCTCCACCTCCTGGAGTGCACTGTCTCCTCAGTCTCTGTGGAACTCTGTATAGGAGCTTTGTCGCTTCCCCCAATTTATCTACTCAATCATGTTTATAATCATATGGATTCATGGTTTTTTATATTACACTGTGGGCAATAATCCAATACCATTTCATTTTGTTACTCAAATGGTTCCAGCTCTGGCCCCTGGGAACTCTTTCAGTTGGCTCCTGTGTCCCTTGGACACGCCCCACAATGTGGGTTTTTTACAAATACTTCCTTAGGATCTGGCACTACAAGATGCTCTTTTCTTGCCCCAGCCCTAGAACTGGCCATTTCTCTAAGGGGTCCTGGCTCTTTTTACTGGAGGTAGTGTTAGAAACCAAGACATGAGCATTGGTGCGCTCACTGCTGGGTGGTTTCCTCTTCGCCTGCTCAGCTGACAAAGCCAGGAAATGTGCCTGTATAACCCTATTTTTTCTAGCCAATGAGTATGTATTGTGTTTACTATAAGGGGGGTAGTGGCTATTCTCCTTTTGGAAACAAAGCAAACAATCCAATGCCCATGGATTGGACAGGTGACCTGAATATCCTAAAATCAAGGAGGTTCAACATGGGCCATGAGTGGGAACAGCAGGAATCTCAGGAAATAAAAACTGGCGCAAGCCTCTCAATTTCCTTCTGGAAATCCCTGCACAATCCAAGTGACGCAGTGTCTGCGTGTTACAGTTATTAAGACTAGATAGTCTCCTCTTTTCCTCGCAGGTTAACAAGAGGAAATGACTACCACCACACCTCCATGCCTACCCTTTCAGACTGAAACACCCAGCATTCTCAGGAACTAAATTCACACCACTGGGGGGACAGGGAAAGAATTCAGTGACATCTCTATTTGTCCTTAGAAACTCAGACAACAGCTATGCTTCAGCCAAACTCTCTCTTGGCCTCCTTGTCATCACTCCACCTGCCAACATTAACTGTGCTCTTTTGCTAACAGCAATGATTTCTGCTCAGAATGGACAAGCTGGGGGGGAAGGGGATCTTTTATGCCATAACATTTAGATACATCCCCTTCAAGGCCTTGATAGCCAGAACCCTTCCTAATAAGGGCTACTAGCTCGCTCAAGTCCACAGCTTCCACAGAGCCAGGAAGAGTTCTGGCTGGGGAACAAGAATGCCATACGCTTCCGACTGGAACTGACCAGTTAAGGGGTCTGCATGCCCAGCAGGTTTCTAACTCCTCGTTTATAGCAGTTTCTTTCCTTGAAGTGTTGTGTGACTTCACCCAAAATCCAATCTCCCTGTCCTCAAAGGGAACAAAAAGCTACCTTGTATTATTCTCTTAACGTGGGTGACCTGTGCTACACATTCTATCCATGCTAATCACACTGGCTTTCCATCCACCCACCTAGTCCTTCCATGGATTAAACTACACTAGAAGAGGAAACAATTTGCACAGATTTTTGGAGATGTCAAACTTCCATCCAGGGAGTCAAAGCTCTGAAGGGGGTCCAGCCTCTTCAGAAGGGACAAACCTCCTCTTTTCAGCAGCTCAGGAGACTGGCGTTAGTGCCACACAGCAGTAACCGGGCGTCCACTCTATAGAGCAGAATTTATTCCTCCACTCCTAACTTTCAGTCTAGCACAGCATTAACAGAATCCAAAGACATCTGAGGGATGTGTACCAAGTGTTACAGCATTAAGTTGAAAAAACCCTCAATTGTCTCTGAAATTATTCAGTCTGTCTGAGACTCAAGAGCCCAGCTCTGGGCCGCACACACCAACCTCCCCCACCCCAACCCAGGGCCCTGTCCTTGCAGCCCACACCAAGCTCTAAACTCCTGTCCTCGAATCAGCAGCTCTGGCTCCCTCAGTCTCAGACTTAGAGATGGACTTATTTCGACTGTCATGAGAGCAGACACCCTAGGCCACCCCAGACTCCCACTTTCAGTGCAGTCCGGTCCCTGGAAAAGGTGGTAGCAGCTCTGAAGTGAGCAAAGGCCTTGTATTCCAGAGAACCAAACTCAGCAACCGTGCTCTGAAGAGCTCCTACTTCTCCTGTCCACTCTCTGGGGCATTCCCACATTTATCCCCAAAAGGCAGGGGAGGTTCCATAAAAGTAGTTGCAACCTGGCCAAGATTCAATCAAAATGAAAAGCCCTGAAAGGGAGAAGTTAGCTTTAAGTTAACTGCTTTCCCAGGGTCAATTAAAGTAGCCTCACAACACATCCAAGCCAGGGACTGTGCAAACACAGAAAGCTCCTGTCCTGATAGCTGAGAAACAGCACCACAACTGACAGCGAGAGAGGAGGCCCTGCCAGCTGGGCAGTTCCAATTCACAGCTGACTGACAGAAACAACCCCACTCTGCATGTGTGCTCGAGACACCCTCTCAGATAGGAGAGGATGAGCTACAGTATCCCCTTATCCACGGTTTTGCTTTCCCCAGTTTCATTTACCTGTAGTCAACCACAGTCCCAAAATATTAGACAGAAAGTTCCCCAAATAAATAATTCATAAATTTTAAATTGCAAGTCATTATGAAACAGCATGATGAGACTTCACACCGTCCCACCTGAGATGTGACCTGTTCCTTTGTCCGCCGTCTCCACACTGTATACGCTCCCTGCCCATTAGTCACTAATCAAACTGGCTATCAAACTGACTGTCATGGTATTGTGGTGCTTGTGTTCCAGTAACCCTTATTTTACTTAATAATGCCCCAAAGCGCAAGAGTATTGATGCTGGCAATTTGGGTATGCCAAAGAGAAACCCTGTTTCCATTAAGTGAAAAGGTGAAAGTTCCCGATTTAATAAAAAAAGAGAGAGAAAACTGTATGTTGAGGTTACCAAGATCTACAGTAAGAAAAATCTTCTAACCGTGAAATTGTGAAGGAAAAAGAAATTCATGCTACTCCTGCTGTTGTACCTCAAACTGCAAAAGTTAAGATCACAGTGCAGTAAAGTTAGTTAAGATGGAAAAGGCATTAAATTTGTAGGTGGAAGATATAAACAGAAAATGTGCTGCAATTGATAACATGTTGTGCCAAAAAGCATTAAGCCTATAGAAAGACTTCAGCAAGGAATCCCCTAAAATTAGCGACATTAAGCCATTTACTGCCAGGTTACTGAATGGCTACACAGACTCAGGAATAGGTTTCGACTAAAAAATATAAAAATTACTGGAGAGGGAGAGAGAACAGAACATCCACGTAACTTTTATTACAGTATATTGTTACAACTGTTCTATTTTATTATTAGTTATTGTTACTTTCTTACTGTGTCTAATTTATAAATTAAACTCTCATAGGTATGTGTGTATAGGAGAAAACATAGTACATATAGGCTTGGTACTCTCCATGGTTTCAAGCATCCCACTAGGAGTCTTAAAAGGTATCCCTCACACATAAGGGGGACAACTGTACTTCAAAATGCCATGGATTCCTCTTGGCTCACATGTCTGGAGCAGTGGAAATGGCAAGCTGCCTTCTGTTCTCTAATCTACAACCCTCAGCACCTTGGCCAATGGGAGGCTGGATAAAGTTATCAGAATTTCGTCCTGCTTCCCCTGGATTTACAATGGCAGTAATTTTTCAAAACCAGGCACAGTGATGGCTGACGTCCCCAGCTGGACCACTTGTGAAACACAGAAACCATTAAGACACTGTCCTTTCTGACACCTCATGATTTAAAATCCTACTATGCAGGCTGCTCTGAGATGGTTGCAAGGCATTTTCACTGGACAATGCGCTAGGCATGTCGTCAGCTCACCATGTAGGTTATCAGCAACCCCACTTTGCCAGGTGGTGACGCCAGGCGAGGAGGCACTCTCCCACCCAGGAGGCTCCCTGTGAAGGATGTTCTGATCAGGACTTGAGCAGACCACTGTCAGTTGTCCCATGTAGCCCACAGTCTACTAAGACTAACCACTTTTTAATATTCCATAGCATTCACAACTCAAATCTTTCACTAATTCTGATAAATCCCCCATGAATCTCAACGGATAAGCTTTTCACTGCAATGCAAATGCCACAGGCCTGGAGTAAGTGGACTTGGATTATCCACCCAGTTTGGTGGCAGGCTGGAGAAAAGTAGGCACCAAGATTTGGCACTATTTTGATTAACAGCGGCAACAGCTTGACAAGATTACACTCTGTTTATCATCCTGGTTACTCTGTGAAGCACCTGTTGTGATAAAGTACTGGATCTGGGTACTTTGCACAGCTTTTGCCACATCAGCCTGTTTCTCAGGAACTTCCTGACTTTCAAACATTTTCTCTTTCCAGAATAAAGGCTGACTGTTCACTGGGGTGGGTGGGGGTATGGAAGAAGGTGGGTGCAGGACACCTCCCTGGTGCAGGGCACCTCCCTGCCTCAGCTGTCCCAACCACCCTACAGGCAGCCTACTGAACCACCAAGTCAGAGGGCCCATTTCATCTGGGGGAAATGAGAATGAAAACCACATGAGCTGGCACACATCCACCAGAAAGGCTGAAAGTAAAAAGTGTGGCACCATCAGGTGCTGGCAGGATTGCGGTTTGGGTGCAACTACTTTGAGAAGAGGTGCAATAGTTTATTAAATTTAGTTACACTCCTCTGTGGCCCAGCAGGTTCACTCCTAGAAATCTACCGAGATATATCAAAATGTGCAGCCACGGCCCAGCTGGCGTGGCTCAGCAGTTGAGCATTGACCCAGGATCCAAGAGATCATGGTTCGATTCCCGTTAAAGGCACATGCCCAGGTTGCAGGCTCGATCCACAGTAGGGGACGTGCAGGAGGCAGCTGATCAATGACTCTCATCACTGATGTCTCTCTCTCTCTCTCTTCCCTTCCTCTCTCTGGAATCAATAAAGATACTTTAAAAAAAAAAAAAAGTACAGCGCTTTATTCATAATAGTCAGAAAGTGGAGAGAGACCAGGTATTCACCACTAAAAAATGGACAACTGTGGTGTGTTATATAAGGAACACTACTCAGCATGAAGCAGCAGTTAACTGAAATGTGCAACGTGGCCAAATCTCAAAACATTCTGGGTGAAAGGACACTTCCTCTAAAGAACACATATTGTATGACTCTATCTGAAGTTCCAGAATACGCAAATTGAACATATGGTGGGGAAAACCAGCACAGTCCTTGCCTCTGGAGGGTGGTGAGGACAGGGGGTGGCTGGGAAGGGCTCAGCAGAACCAGAGCTCACAGGTGCATCCGTCATAACCAGCGAGTAAACACTCAAAATGTGTGCACTTCACTGTAGGTACATTCATGTGAAAAATTAAACATTGAACTCTACTCAATGATATACACATTCTGGTATTTAGGGGGAAGTGTACAGATGTCTCTAGGCTTTTCTTTGAAATACGTAAAAAAATGGGTGGAAAGCAGTATAGACACAAATATGTGACGAAACAAGTATAATGAAATATCAATGGCAAAATCTAGGTGAGGGGATATATTAAGTATTCACTAATTCTTTCTGGTTGGTGAATGTTAAAAAAGTTTTCAAAATAAAAGAAAAAGCCTATAATGAGATACCAATTCATCCCTCTCAGATTCACACCCGTTTATACACTCATAGGCAATGGAGAGAGAGGAATGTTGGTTGGTTTTGATGGTGTGAGTGGGCATACTATGTGGAGGACACACGCCACGAGCCAGCAAGAGACCCTCTAGTGCACGTGAACCGAGAGATGTGCACGGGAACGTTCATGTCATGTCAGCACTGCTTGCCGGTAAGAAAAGAAAAGGCCCATTAGCAACAGAGAGGAGAAACAAGTCATGGTATATTCTACAATAGACCACCACACAGCGTTAGATCCCCATACACAGAATTATTCACTACAGCGCTGCTGCACATGCAGATTAGAACGTAATAGAACTGGAGCAGATTAACACCATCTTTGTCCATTTCTAATTCAATAAAAGGAATTATTTCTATGAAACTAATATGCAATGTTTCATTATTGATGAAAATATAGAAGTTACCATATTTTCCTACATGCCACGTCTTACCTGTTTCGAGTAGCCCCCATAGATGACGATGCTGCCCTGGGGAGTGATGGACATTTGGCAGCCAGATCTGGGTGTGGGCCCAGTCCCTGATGGGGACAGCTTGCTCCAAGTGAATGTGTCCAGGTTAAAGGCATACACGTCATTGTAATAGATGTAATCTCTGGTTATAATAAAGTCACATGAACAAAAAGACAGTGACATTAAAAACCAAACTTAATTTAAATTATAGGTAAGTTTTCCACCATTTGTACTATCATCAGTATAATCAAAATTTAAATTCATGGGAGGAAAAAAAGGGGACATCTGTAATTCTTTCAATAAAGATAAATTTATATGTGTACATATATAAATTTTAAACTCATGGCAGGACTGGAAGCATATATGAGTTTGCATTTGAAAATAGAAATAATGCTAGACCATAGAAGCACAGTAATTTGCCTGGATCTGAAAGACTTTTTAATCTGAAAGTTACACTGTATTTCCTTACACAGTTTATAAAATTACAATCTTGCAGCCCTGGACACATGGCTTAGTTGGTTGGAGTGTTGTCCTGTACACCAAAAGGTTGAGGGTTCGACTCCCAGTCAGGGCACATACCTAGGTTGTGGGCTCAATCCCTGGTCAGGGCGTGTACAGGAGGCAAGGAATCGATGTTTCTCTCTCTCTCTCTCAAATCAATTGAAAAAAAACAAAAGCATATCCTCGGGTGAGAAGTTTTAACAAGCCCGTCAGGCTTAAGTTTGAGAATTCTGTGTTAAATAAGATGACCACATCATCTGCAGGGCTCAGTCATCTGCAAGGCTCAGTGGGGCCTGTTCAATAATTATTAAGAATATCAAACAGTGCCTGATCAAGCATGGTTCAGTGGTTAAGCATTGACCTATGATCCAGATCGAAGAGTTCGATTCCCAGTCAGGGCACATGCCTGAGTTGTGAGCTTGATTCCCAGTGGGGCGCTTGCAGGAGGCAGCTGATCAATGACTCTCTCATCATTGATGTTTGTTTCTCTCTCTCTCTCCCCCGCTTCCTCTCTATGAAATCAACAAAGATATATTTTTTAAAAAATGAATATCAAACAGTGACAGAGGAGCATTAAACTAAGCTCAGGCCCTCTTGAGTGTGGGGCCCTGGTTGGCTACTTGAGCTGCATGCCCATGAAGCTGGCCCTAGTGCTAGGAGATGGGCAGCATTTTCTGTGTGTATTCAGAATGATTCTTCCCATTAAAAACTCCCCTCATTACTACTCTAGGAAAGAAAAATCTTTCTCCTATTGGCACTAACCTTGTACTCTCATGGAAACCACCAAAAAGGATTAACTGTCTCTTCCAGGCTACCATCCGATGTCCACTCCGACCTGAAGGACCTCCTGGTGATCTAAAATTTTTTAAAAAGACCACTTTTTTAGACCACTTTCTGTTTCACAAGCACTTAGTACCATTTAATTTAACCAGAAACTTTTGCAGATTTCAACAAACTCAAATATGCTGAAAACATGGACCCCAACACGAAAAGGTTTTCTTTAAGAGAGAGGAATGTTCATGGTGCGTTATCTGCTTACAAGTAAATTTATAATGAAAATAAGAAACAAACCTATCCAACCACCATGGACATATTTTTGAAAAGAGTGACACCTCCTCAAGAACCTCAGGCAGGTCCTTCAGGAGGTGTTCCAGAAGAACAGAAAGCATTGTTATCACAGGAGATGACAGCTCCAAGAGTGTTACTGCCCCTGAAGACCTTTCAGTGGGATAAGATGCGGAGGTAGAAGACAGTGATATTGATGATCCTGACTCTGTGTAGGCTTTAGCTAATGTGTATGTTTGTGTCTTAGTTTTTAACAAAAGTTTAAAAAGTAAAATTAAAACATTTTAAATGGATAAAAGCTTACAGAATAAAGACATAAAGAAAATAGATTTGTAAAGCTATACAATGTGTTTGTGTTTTAAGCCAAGTGTTACTACAAAGAGGTTGAAAAGTTAAAAAAAAATTTAAAGTAGAAATGTTCTAGTAAGCTATGGTTGATTTATTTTTGAAGACAATAAATTTTATATATTTAGTGTAGCCGAAGCATACAGTAGTGGACAGTGATCCCTAGGCCTTCTCATTCACTCACCACTCACTTGCTGACTTACCCAGTGCAACTTCCAGTCCTGTAAGTTCCATTCATGGTAAATGCCCTATTCAGGTGCACATTTTTTAAATCTTTTATACAGTACTTTTACTATAACTTTTCAATGTTTACATGCACAAATACTGAACACTATTACAATTGCCTACAGTATGCAGTACAGTAATAGGACGTACAGGTTTGCAGCCTAGGAGCAGTAAGTTGTATCATACAGCCTAGGTGTGCAGTAGGTTATACCACCTAGATATATGTAAGTGCACTCTGTCATGTTTGCACGGTGACAAAATTGCCTAACAACACATTTCTCAGAATACTTCCCCATCATTAAGCAATGCATGGCTGCAGACATGCCCTGCAAAAAATGTTAAAAAAAAGTTCTTCAGAGAAAAGAAAAAGAATATAGGTCAAAAATTTGGATCTACATAAAGAAAGAGCACTGAAGAAGGTAAAAAGAAAAAAAAGAAAAAGGTAAACTAAAATAAAAATTTTTACTTAATTGATCTAACAGATAATAATTTGGGTTAAAATAATAGAAATAATGTATTTGATTATATAAGCTTTTATACACATACACACTTGTGTATGTTTATATATCCGTGAAATAAATGACAGCAATACTATAAGGAATGGAGGTACGGAATTAGAATTATTTTGTTATTATAAAGTATTCACATTACTCTTGAAGTAGTATAGTGTTATTTGAAAGTGTACTTGGGTTAGTTGTAAATGTGTATTGCAAACTCTAGGGCAACCACTAAAAAAAGTAGTACAACTGATGGGATATGCTAAGGAGAAAAAACGTAATCATATAAAATACTCAATTAAAACCACAAAAGACAAAAAGAGTGAAAGACAAGCATAGGAACAAAGATCAAGGGCAACAAATAGAAAACAGTAATGAGTATAGTAGAAATTAATCCAACTATATCAATAATCACATCGTCAACAGTCTAAATGCACCAATTTAAAGTCACAGACTGTCAGAGTGGATTAAACACAACCCATAGTTGGCCTTGACTGGTACTCTGCACGGTGGGAAAGGGCTCTCCTAGGAGCTAGGCCCACTCCGCAGGCTGAAGCAGACGGCATGCCATCTCCAGCCCCTATGTGCTTGCTGGGTGCTGAGGAAACAGGCCACACAGTACAACTGCACAATAGAGAAGCTGAGAAGAAGGAAAACGTCACATGTGCTGGGCAAAAAGCAAGCTCCCTTTTGATAAATTCTCCAATGTAATACTTTAGAAGTACAACCTGGGCAACAGGTTTTCATTCAACAACTAGCATAGCCCAATTATACTGCAAAAATATTTACACGGGAGAGCTGGAATGCTACTGATGTTAGTCCAGTACCAGTGAACTAACTAAAGGCCCAGAGACCTACGGAAACGGTGTCAGCAAGCTGTCATCTTTAAATGACTCCCAGCAGCTGAGATGTACCAGGTAAGGGCCTCCGGTCAGCTTATCCTGCACAAATCTGATGGGGGTTTCGCCTTCCAGTGATCCAGGCACCAAGAATTTAATTTACTTTTTGCAGCAGCCACCACATACCACTGTGCTTTGTAACCAAAATGGGAAAATTTTTCTATAAAAACACTTCACATACCCCTTTAGAAAAATAAAGCCACCCAAAAAAGCCTGTCTATATTTGAATCTCCAACAGGCCTTTTCAACTGCCATCACTCCTAAATATGGAGTCTTAAAAAATCCCCATGTCATACTCAGCCAGATCTATATGCAGCACAAAAATACATGTGCAATGCTGTGGGAGTGAGTGCTCTCAGTGCAGCTGAGTTATGTGCAAAACGGCATTCCAACAGGGCAAGATGCCACTCAGCGTCACCCAGGCCCTTTCTAATGGGCCACTGTGGTGACATTTACGGAAAATACACTAGCATCAACTAACTCCACGGGCTTAGAGTACAAACAGAGTGTTAAGCACTCTGCACGAAAATGTTTCCCTGAGGTAATTCAAAGTTTATACCTTACAAAATTACATGCTATAGTACCATGCCATACCACGCAGCCCCAAGACATTTACTGAGCAAAAAACACAATTTCTCTCATAAAACCTGAGAGTCAACATCACACAGGCACACTGGACAGGAAACAGTCTAGTGGCTCATGCTCGGATCAGAAAAGCCCCTACTCCAAGAACAGTTACAGCATGGCCCAAGCAGGAACCATGTGCAAAAGCATTGCTCTTTTCATTTCAAACAGTGTCCCTTTGGCATTCGGCCCCACTTTTCCAAGTGTGAAATTAATCAAATAATGAATGTGAGGCTTAGGAAATAAGTATAGGGTATTTTATCACCTTGTACAGACTAATTAATAGCTGTCTCTAGAATCCAGGTAGCCTATCAAACTGTGTTCGTTTTATTTTTATTTTAACTACTACTGTTAATAAGAAAACTATTTGTGGAATGTTTATTCTATGCTATATGTATTTATTCCTCACAATAACTGCATGGCACAGACATTTAATCCCATTTTACGAATGAGAAAATCAAGACTTAAGAAATCAAGAAACACACTAAGCTAGTCAGCAGCCGAGCCAGAACTTAAATTGAGGCAATCTGGTCCCATAACCCGCACTTTCAACAGCGAAGTAAGACACTAAACTAAAGAAATCTATGGGCCAAAAAATTACCACTTACCCTAATGGCAGTCTTCAATTTCATAGATCCTTGTCCTTACCCCTTGATTTTCCTACAAATCAGTCACACTGTCTCTATGTGCTGGTCTTCCTCCTTATACACGGCACATCAAGACGATCGTCAATCAGCAGTGAAGGAGCAGGGGGGTCCACACAAGCTTCCACTCCCACTTCTAGGGTTTTCTGGCTTCACTCACAGTTGCTCCACAGCTGTTAATAAAGCCTGCCCATGAAGTCCAGAAAGCCTCAGACCATGAGCCCAACCAGCTCATGGGAGGAGCCAGAGAGCAGAGCACATCTGTGTTTCCATTTCCACGTGAATGTTTCACACTCCAAGATTCATGGTCTGATTTCAACTTACTCATCATTGCCTTTTGCAACAAGATCATAAAAAGAGCTCTGAATCATTTTGCTATTAATTCTTCTTTTCTAGGATGTCAACTTTTCTCAGACACAGCTTTAAGATACATATACTAAGTGGGTTTAGCTGAAGCCTCCACAAATGTTGGCTCCTTTCCCAAATGAAGAGAAAACAGAGTGCCTTCCAACATACACACACACACAGTATATTATTTTTCATTCAACCAATTTTTATTGATCATGTACTAAGTACTCTGATGCATATAAAAATGTATTAGTTGTACACAAATGTTCATAGAGGCATTATTCTCAAGAGTGGAAATTGGAGACAACTCAAACATCTATTAGTGAATGAATGGATAAACAAAACATGGTATATCAAAACAATGGAACATATTCAGTCATAAAAGAAATTCTGACACATATGGCAGAATGGACAAACCTTAAAAACATTATGCTAAGGGTAAGCCAGTCACATAAGAATACTGTAGGATTCTAATTACATGAAATATCTAGAATAGGCAAATCCACAGAGATAGCAAGCAGATTAAAGGTGACCAGAGACTAGGGGAAAGGACAAATGTGAGGTGAGTGGGCAATGGGAATGTGATCTTTTTGGGGTGATGGAAACATTCTATATTTAACTAGCAGTGGTAGTTTTACAACTCTGTGAATATGCTAAAAACCATCAAATTATGTATTTTGAAAGGGTGATTTTTTTTTTTTTAATATGTCTTTATTGATTTCAGAGAGAGGAAGGGAGAGGGAGAGATAAAAACATCAATGAGGACAGAGTCATTGATTGGCTGCCTCCTTGCACAACCCCCGCTGGGGATGGAGCCCGCAATCCCAGCATGTGTTCTGACCAGGAAATGAACCGTGATCTCCTGGATTATAGGTCGATGTTCAACCACTTAGCCACACCGGCTGGGTGAAAGGGTGATTTTTCAGGAATATGAAAAACATCCAAAAGTAGCTGAGTTCTATAAGAAGCCTGACCTCCTTGTTTGTGTTTATGGAGTCACAGATGACTAGTTAGGATGGCACTGTTTTTAGAAATAAATGGAGAAAGGGTGTCAAAATATTTCTCCCCTTACCCAACTGTATCTCTTCCAGGGGGTAAGAAAGGAAAGTGGGGTTCACCTTTAGAAATGCTGGCTTTTCAGTGTGGCAGGCTGACCTAACTAAACTTTAACAGACTGGAAACCTGAACTAGTAGGACAGGCCCGCTAT